CCGAGAGAGGACAAGAAGCGACGAGGTGTCATTGTGCTGGTTATTTTCACTTTGGTACCCATATTTTATCCATTTTTATGAACTTTTTATGTGCTTAGATCTTCTTCTTTTTTCTTTTTTTTTTTTTACACCGAGAGAGGACAAGAAGCGACGAGGTGTCATTGTGCTGGTTATTTTCACTTTGGTACCCATATTTTATCCATTTTTATGAACTTTTTATGTGCTTAGATCTTCTTCTTTTTTCTTTTTTTTTTTTTACACTTTGATATCCAAAGTTTCAATTATATTTTACTTTGATATCCTCATCTATATTTTATTATGTTTTATGTAATACATTTTAGGTCAATTATGCACCTCTTTTAAAAATTAATTCTCTCAACATATTTACTCATCCTCTCATGGTTTAGGCTTCTTAACTGATTTCAACTAAATGTTTAACGTTATCCTAATTTGAAAAGGTGAAATTTGATAAGAAATATGCTTCTTCTTATCATTTCAGCATTGATGATCAAACATGGATGTTTCGCTCTTTTTAGATTACTTAATGGTGGACTAACAAAGTGTGTCAAAGTAAAATAGAATTGAATCTTTGAGATACCAAAGTGTTAAAAAATTTTAGGGTACCAAAATATAAGGTAGGTAACTTTGGGATACCAAAGTGGAAATTAAGCCTTGATTTGTAGATAGGCATTTTATAGATAACACCTTTTTTATTAGGATGTTTTGCCCATTGTTGTTCCTTTACTTGGCACATTACACGTTAGACTTAAATAGGTTACTTTGGAGGGGGTAAATGGAAATATTCAAGGGTTTTAATGAATCACAATAAGTTCAGAGGGTAATGTGCAAGATTCCGCAAGGTTCTAGGGGTTACGTGGAATTGAAATACTTAACGGGTTTTATGTGCAAAGTCCCCAAAGTTGAGGGGTTTCCTGAAGTAAACAAAAGAAAATGTTTTTTCAATAAAACTCTCCCCAGAGAACTTTTTTTAAAACAAATAGAGTGAAAGAAACCCCTGGGATAAAGGGTTCCAAGTTCAAATTAATGAACAAGAAGAAAACAAGGGAAAATGGATTCTAATTACGATAGGTCAGTAACAGACTACGCAAATGGATTATGGAGGTCAGGAATCTTTTATCGGAGAGAACGACACTTTTTGTTATTCAAAGAAAAGTTATCCAAACAGACCGGAATTGGATTCTCCCAACTTTTATTTGCCAATGGAGAAATTACTTTCCAAGAGAATCGTCAAAAGTCTTTAAAAAAATGTTGATCACAATCACATTTAATTATGCGTATGATGTAAATTTTGCACTTGGGCTAGACACGCATGTCAACATTGACTTAGGTAATTTAACCTATCCTAAAAGTGTGGGACATCCGCACTTAGCTTATTAAATAAGACACGACCTATAGATCTGAAGTAAAAAGACGGATAGGTAGCGATGACCCATGACGGTCAAACTCACCTTAGTTCGAATATCATGCCTCGCTTTAGTCCGAATTGTTTTCATGACGATTTGTAATTGATTTGAATCGTATTTTATCCTCAACATACCATGTTTGGATAAATCAATCAAATAACCATTCTCTTTAATGGTCAACATTCATAACAACACTGATCTATAGATGTGAGTTGGCAGAAGCTAATGAGATCATGACATGTTGGCTTGCTTGCCCGCCAAGTGACTACCATTCATGCACTTCTTGATTTGCCTAGGAAAATCCCTATAAGTATTCTACCTTACCATTAGGTAAAGGGACCTCATACTTAGTTTATGGCTTGTTTGGATTGAGGAGAATAAGGGTGAAGGAAAGTTAGGGGAACCATTCACCTTGTTTGGAAACATTTAGGATGTGAAGTTATTCACCCTAGTTCCCATTGGTTCACCCCTTAAGCCCCGTTTGGCAAAGGGTTAATGAAGAGGGGTTAAAGAGAAGGATTAATGTACTTAGCCCATTTGATAATCTGAATGACTAAATTATTAACCCGTTAAATAAGTTTTATTTTAGCCCTTATGATCAGTTTTAGTGTTTGGGAATAACAATAATTTTGACTATTTTCTTTATAATTAGAAGGGTTAACTTTTATTCCATCTAAATAGGAGTATTAGTAAACCCCTCATTTTGAGGGGTTAACTCATTTTAACCCCTCTAGAGGGGTTAACTTAACCCTTCTATATTTTTTATGTTTGGCAAATTATGGAGGGTTAACTCACTTTAACCCTTATATAGATTTGTTGTGTTTGGCAGGTTAAGAAGGGGTTAAGTCTCCTTAACCCCTCACTTAATCCTTTGCCAAACGGTAAATAGTATAAAATTTGTTACCCCCAAAATTGGGGTGTAACCAATGGGAAGGGAACTCACTTCCCTTCCCTTCCATTCTCTCACCTAGTTTCCCTTAACTTCCCTAAACCCCATTGAAATCCAAACACATCCTAGTCTCGACACCGCCAACCTTCAATCCTTGAATTTTACTCTAAACCTTAACCTATATATCTACTACTTTGAATTTAATCATCAATAACCATACTTAGGCATCGGAAGGACATTGTTGTATGGCTCATC